AATACTCAAAGGCTTAACCTGAGCTATTTCATTCTCCTCTTTTTATTGTGATAGATATGTGACAGAACAAAAAATTCTTGGGAAGAGAAAAGGCAAGTCCCAGGAAAAAAGTGACAAAAAGTTGATAGAAATGCAATGGTGAAAGGAGATTTCCTAAGAAGAGGAGAAAGCGTTGAGGAGACGAAAATGTCACAAAAAGATGACAGTTAAAGGAATATTTCATGAGGGTGTAAAATGTCTAGGGAGGACAATATGATGATTAAAAATGGCAGGTGAAAAAGTAGTACTGGAAGACAAAAATAAAGTTATATAGGTGGGTAAGTTTTCTAAGAATAGTGAAAGTTTTAAGGTCAGAAAGGTGATATGGACATGATGGAAGAATTTACTGACAAGATAAAAGCGAAGGGAAATGTGAGGGGTTTTTGGGATGACAAAGAAAGAGTTAGAGATTAGCAATCTAGTAAGAGTAAGACCCAAACGTATTAGGATGATAATATTTCCAGTCATATGAATTATAATATAAGAAAATTCTAAATGGATTCCCAAATTTGTCTATATGCTTCCTCCAAACTTCCATAACTCACTTCGGGATCTTTGATGAGTCCCTGCAATAGATAAATGGCTCCATATATACGCTAGAATCCCCCACCCCTTCTACACAGGAGATTAACACCTTTCCCAACCTTCAAATCCACAAAAGGCAAAACAACCACCTTTTACACGGAGAAAGTACTGGAAACAAGGTCAGGAACCTAATTTAGTCGAAATCAGATGAGGTGCAATAGGGAGAAAGATATTTAAACATCATAGCATCAACCTGAAGCTACTATATTAGACCCCCTCTTCATTTGGGAACCGCAGTGATAACAATACAAGTTACCACTGTCCAAATGTTGATGCAGATATTGACAGTCCCATGATCAGTTTTATTGGTCAAGATATATACATGCTTCCTGATAGATCATCTACTTGATCACACAATAAGAACACACCTTTATTTTTTATAACCAAGAAATTCTGAAGGATTGGTCGCATAAAGTTCGAAACTCAGTGGATAGTGAGCCTGGCCATCTATAGTAACTACCGTGATCTACTTAAATCAGGCTTTTGACCGGCAGAATCCGACCCTTGACACGCCTAATCCACAAATCAGATATTGTGATCTTACCACTCCAAAGTCACAGGGGTCACATTAAGCACAACATAATAATTTTTCACTATCTTTTTATTTTACTGGTAATAATAATTGTTCATATTCTTTGGGAAACTAAATCCTATATTGATCTTAAAGAGTAAAAGATGTTTTCGTTTATGTAGTAAGCGAAATATTATTAAGGCACCCAGTCGATGCAAAGATACAAAAAGTTGGATCTGTGCTCTAAGAGTAGAAGATTGAAACTCAATTTACACATTAAATTGGACTGCACTAGCTATAATAAAAACATAAGTTGCAGGGCGGAAGGCGCAACACTCAAAGATGTCCTCAAATGGATCATTGAGGAAATAGGGCACAAGAACAATGCACATGATATTCATAACAAAACAAATAGCAGGCCTCCAGAACAGCATTCTCTAATTCAACACACATTTTATTAAATTTTATCCCAAGGTTGAAAAAACATTAGCATTCCTTATTTACAAAAATCTGTTCTTTTAGCATTCCAATTAGCAATCACCATCAACATCAAACAAGAAGTTATAATCATCCAGCCATCACGATAACAAAAACAAACTAGTTAGTCTCGATTCTTCATTAAGCATTTGGATCAGTTATAGTTGACAAAAACCCAATAAAAAGCAAAAGGAAAGAAATGCATACATAAGTATTCAGCTGCCGAACAAAGCTGGAGAAGTTATTATGCTTAAAGTACTTCGGAAGTAGGTCTTTAGCAAACTCCGGAGGATCCCAAACCACAAAACTATTATTCGTAGGACTCCACGACACGATCTTATCCGTACTCGGATCATCCACCATATCATACGTCTTCACCAGAAACGGCGGCGGCGCATTCGCACTGGGTATCGGCGCCGGCGCCGGCGCCGTCTGCAACATTGGCGCTCCTACTCCGTCACCGACAGCAGCCTTCCCGCTGCCATAAGAATTCGGCTCCATTCACGATAAAACCTACCTCAAACCGGAACTATTCGGGTCGAGGTCGAATGAAATCAAACTCCGATGATAAATACACTACATGCTATGCATCAATTGAATTTGGAATATCATCCATGGATGGAGGTAGAGAAAAAACCCTAGGTTTATAGAGAGAGAAAGTGCGAGTGAGTGAAGTTTTTAGAAAGAGAGATGATGACTGAGATGAACCGGCGGAGGTAAAAAATTGGACTGAAAAGGTTATTATTAAAATAAATAAATTGCAGTGACCACGGTAGAGGTGAATAAAAAATTACCAATTTACCCCCTTTTTTAATTTTGTTTTGGACTGGAATTCACGGGGTAAGAGTGAAAGCTCACTCATGTTTTATTAATAATAATTAAATATACACATTAAAAGATTATATACAAATTACTTTTTAAAAAAATAAGAATAAGGTTGACTACATACCAATTTAGGGGGGTTCGTGGGTTTGAATCGGTTTATAGTTAAAATTAAAATCAACTAATCTAGTCATATCATAGGTCTAAAAGATTTCACTTCTTCATTCTTCAAGTCGTGTCATAGATCTATAAGCTCTCTCTCTTATCCCTTATCTTATTGTCTTTAGTATGTGTTTATTAGAAGGGATTATGCTTCAAGGAGTGAGGGAGAAATGTTGGTTGCGATATGGCTATGTGACTTGATAGATTTGAGATTATAGACATTGATGTTTTATTTAGTATGAATGATGCTTTATTATTGCCTTTATGTTATAAAAGATGTTTAGAAGAATTGAGTGGTTACTCCCGAGGGTCGAAAGTGTGCCTACCTAGCAAGGTGATTGTGAGGTTATTATTAATTGGTGGTGGGAACCGACTTAGCTATGATGATTTTTGAGGTATGTTGATATATTGATTGAATAAGGTTTTTGAGTAAGGTCTAGATGGGTTGAGAGAATAGACTCCTCTACGAAGGGTAGGAGTGTAATTCACCTTTGTCTATAATCATCTTTTGTGATGAGGTGAACTATTCGTGATGCTTAAAAAGAATTAGTATAGGCTTGCTCCCAAGGGGGATATAAGGTTGTTGAGTATTTTTGATGTGAATAAGCTAGGGTTACTAGAGATTATCACCTTGAGAGGTGTAGTGAGTAAGAGAAGTTTTGTCCCGGTTGCTAGGCGCATGTAAGATTATGAGTAGAGTTAGTAAAGTTTCTTGTAGGTTAAGGTTACAAGAAGAGAAGGTAAGCAAGTTGACTCTAGTAGTGGGGAAGTGAAACCTCAAAAGAAGAATGGGTTTTATGCTCTCCAATCTAGAGAAGATCAAAAGTGAATTTCTTATGTCCCTTTCTCATATGTGCTTCTTGTATGTTATAGAAAATTTTCAGATTTCTTGTCTTTAATGACTTGCTATGATGGACTTAATATTGTACTTGATATGATTGATGTTTAGAAAAACATGTGTGGGCTTGCTCCCAAGGGTAGATAGTGTGTCTATTCCATAAAGACTTTACATGATTATGTGTTACTATGATCTATATATGTATGCTTATGAAGTTGTGAAGGTCTTGTTAGAATTGACCTAATTGCATTGTGTTGCCTCTTGTTGTAGCATACTTGAGTCAATGTGCAATTTTTAGGCTCCATGAATTTATGTTGAGCATGTTACAACTAGGAGATATTAGTTCCTCCTTGGAAATGAGTAATATGTTCCATGCATGCATTTTGAGTTGCATTAGGTATGTCTAGATTGAAATTAAAGCTTCCTTGGTTGGGTGTATGCATTTAGAAATAATGCATACTCGATGACGAATGTTTAGAAAGTTTATTCGAGGATGAATGTTCCCAAGGAGAAGACATTGTTGTACCCCGGATACTAGAAGACCAAACTAGAGTCACTAGTTAGGATTCTAAGGTTTGACGTAGTGAAATATTGTCGTGTATGAGACTTACTGTGTTGTGAATGAGGGGTTTAATGGTTGATATCAATGTAGGCATTATATATAGTATACTAGATGACCTATAGGTGTTTGGTAGTTCAGGGGAAGGGTAGCCACCAAGGCAAAAGGGCAAGCCCAAGCCAAAGGGCCAATTAGGTTGTCCAACCTTAGCAGCCACTGCCTAAGAGTTCACAACCACCTTCAAGACCAGTGATGTGGACCACGGTCCGTAAAGGGGTCCTTGAATATGCCTTAGGCACTTAAAAGGTCAGAACAAAAGGCCTAGACACTACTCCAAGTCCACGAGGCACTTCACCAGCCGTTGGCTTGACCACGACCCGTCAAAGTACTCGTGAAGGTGCCTTAGAGTTTTGGGGTGGTTGAGGGACAAAAAAGGTTGGAGGGGATAATGGTCCATGGACATCTGGGACCACCACAGACTGTAGTGCCCTGGTCGTCAAAGTGGTCGTAGTGCTTGGGACGGGACTGCCAAGTTGGGAGACAATTGGGTAAAATCCTATGCAACTAGGTTTAAGTGGGGTCGTTTTTTCTATGTATTTTATTAACCTATTTAAACTATTTTAAGTATTTAATCCTTAGTTTTAAGTCACTTTATATTAGACGCAATTCAAAACCCAAAATCACTCCCTCTCAAATATTTCCCTCTCAAAAAAGAACCTCTATTAAAGAAGAAGCTAGGGTTGAAGCTAAGGTCAAGATCAAAGGCTCCATTGACTAGGGATTTATTTAATTTATGTTTATCTCTTCATATATGGGTTCTTCCACCCATAGAGTCCCCTAAAATTTTTCCTAATTTGTGACGAAGAACCTCAATGAAGGTATAGTTACTTTCAATGCATGTGTTTTAGGTTGGTATGATTCCAAATGGTTGGATACTACTTGTATAAAAAAACAGAATAGCAATTATAGACAAACTCTAACCTAAGGGCAATCCAAAAAATAAAACAGTACTTAAAAACGAACAAAATACAACATAATAGCAAACTAACACAATAAACACACTACTTAGCTTCTCTATGAACATAAATACAACAGGGTAGCAAATTAGCAGCTTCTGTATGAACATAATACTAGGAAGAACAGAAATACAACACTTGACGAACATAATACAAAATTACGCGACTTAGAGAAAGGGAAAAAATAATTTTATAAAAAAATATCGTATATTGTGGTGTAAATATACACCTAACACTATAATTGCAAGCCAAACATAAGATTTCGCGCAATATTGATCTTAATTTCAAGAATCAGACAGAAACACTAAGAAATAAATCACAAACTCAAAATAAGAGATAAAGAATTACTAAATCAGTTGATAAACTTCTAAATGAAGTTGACAATCCACAACAAAAACATAGAAATAAGGTTGAAAAAAAAAATACTTTGGTTCTGTCTAAAACAAACACATCTCTGGGCTTTCTGTTTTTATTTTTTCTTTTTTTTAACAACATTGCCCAATTGGACAATACCTCGGGGATAAGCCAATCTATATACCAAGTCTCTTCTCACTTTAGCATAGCCATGATCACCCCATTCATCGCCCCAATGATTTTTAACTTCATAGTATTCAACTCCATTTTTAATTCCCCATCCTGTTATCAGTACTGAATGTGCTTCACTATGGATCCGAACAGCAGCCCCATCTTCAACATCAGTAGGGTTTTCAACAGTAGCCTCATCTTCAACAACTCCCATATAAACTTCCTAGGTACAATAACAGAAAGCAAACTATCAAAATATAATTAGGGTAATGTTGGAATAAACTAACTTTACAATATACCTATATACCTCTCCTTTGAAATCCATGGCACTCTGATTGCCCCAACCATAGGTTGATGTCGCAATACTTGATTAATTTGCTCATCGGTCACCAAGTCCTCAAAACCCACTCTTTGCCATTTTGCAGCAATATTCTCCGTACGCACTCGAACGACCTCCCCAATTTTATATTTTACCTGCTACCATGCATGTGTTAGCCAAAAATAAATAATCAATCTAGTTTTCTATATATTTGTAGCCAACCTCATTTGGGAGCGGGTCAGGAAAATTAATGTCCCAACTAGTGTTTCTCTTGGGATAAGTCGTGGCTTCATACAACCCAAAGTTCCTTGCATAATAGAGAGCATCGACATGAGAGCCAAAGTAACATCCAAGAGTTGCATTCCTTTTTCGACCTTGCTGTGCATAGTTAAAACTTCTCGGCATTTGGTCAGCAATTTGTTGGGTAGACAATTCAACCGGAGTTGAGTTGTAGTCTACCGCAAACAAAGCGGATACTGCTTCCGTTGTACTATAAGCATAGCAGATATCTTCAAAATTGAAATAGAAAATGAAGTTAAATTCATATCCTAGTGAAAAATATACTACAGTAATATTAATATACTTACGCATGCCATTACGATTATTATGAATATATGGGAGAAGTATTTGAGTAGGCTCATTTCTTAAACTAAACCCAAAATCACCTGCCATATGTTATAGACTACAAAAACATAAAAGGAAATCATCAAACAACACACAAATGAATAGTCTATCAGAAATAGAGATAGACTAGAAAACTTGCAATTTTACTTGCGTGAACATACAAGTTCTTCAATTCATACATAAACATTATAAAAAAAGTAAAAAGGTTTCTCATTCCACTGGACATTCTTCCTGCAAAAACTGTTATATCACCATATATAATTATAGTGTTGCTCGATCTATAAACCAGTATGTACTACTGTTCTCATCATGCTACAAGGGAGTATTTACTTTTAAGGTCCTAAGCTTAATAAGAAGGAAATGGAAACAGTTGGGAAGATGTCAATTACTTGAAACAACAAAAAGAGCAGTATCTATGTTCTTGAAGTATTTGAAACATGAGTGGGAGGGACAGCCCGAAAAACATAATTTAGGAAGAAACAACCGAATAAATAACAAGGTTCTGGATCCAAAAAGGCATCGAAAAACCTTCTAGGAGCATATAAGTCAATCATCAAAAGACTTTTCTGGTCCACAAACATGTGACGGTTTTTCTTAGAACCAAGATACTAAAAGGTATTATGAGAAGGGAGCTTCCCATTTGGATTACACAAAAGTGACTCAAGCGAACCAGCTACAAGGGAGATAGGTTTCTTCAAGTGGCATGTCATGTAAAAAGTTGGGACTTCTCTATTTCTCTACTTCAGCTCCATGAAGAGCATGCATCTTACTGGTATCGAGGGGATGTTTGTTCCGGAAATATGCCATAAGCTACTTGATATATATGGGTTATCCTATTGATTAAGACAACTAGTGAAGTCCATTGCATCGAAGAACTACTGGTTCAATAAATGAAAAGACACACTATCAGTGCAAATCAGGAATTTAACAGTACCCTTTAGTAAGTATTTCTGCATCATTTTGGACTTGAAATGTACCTTGTCAACCCACCCCTCCATAAGTTCTATATCAAGATTTTTTAGTTCTATCGTCATGAACATAAACAACAAGACCTCATCAAGGCAGTCCATTTCATCCACCCTAACACTATAGTTATTGAGCCATATCAATTTGAGAAAAAAGATAGTCCGGCCTCTGAAACTTGTTGTGCAACAACAAGCCCATGTAGATTTATGAGCTGCAAACACAATGTCGTTACCAACCTTCTGGGGATTTACAGAGTTAAAGGAGCTAAGCTTGAACAGTAAAATCCATGAAGTAGGTTCACAAATTCAACTTTATTTGGGGTTTTCAACATTTTACCAATATCTTCTCAACAAAGATTCAGAAGTTCTTAAACAAGAAATGAAGTATGTTCCCTAGCTAGCTAATTTTCAGGAACATCAAACTAGAACCAATAGTTTATCTAATAATCTAGAAAATGAAAAGGGTCTAAGAAATTTCTCAAGATTTTCCATATTAGAGAAGTATTACATTTAACAGAAGTTAAAACTCATTTTCGACATGCATGATCAAGAGTACTTGCACATTAAATTGGATTATCGTATTTCTGACACAAACTAAAGCTACAATCACTAACTTGGATCAGAAGAAACACTAAGCAGGAGATCTGTTAACAAAAAAAAATGAAAATTTTTACTAACTCAAACACATACATTCATAAAATCCAAGCAAAGAAAATGATGAATAAAGCACTCACTTTGAACGGCCAAAAATGGAAAATGAGTGTTTCTTGGTTGTGATAAAAAAAAAAGAATGTTCATTATATACTGGTACGTACTGGAAATGGACTTACCGATCTCAGAATCAAATCAGTTTCATAACCGCATTGTTTGTTATCGTTTTTTCACTCATTTATGAAATTACACAAAATAGAAAGATAAAAAAACTAGATAAATACCAATCACCATCCACTCTAAATCCTTACTTATAAATTTCACTAATATAAAGTACTATATATTATGACATATATATAGCATGGAAAAGTAGTTTTACAAAAAGATTTTATGAGAATGATAATGAAGCTAGCCGCTAAATTATAAAAAAAAAATTATTTGCATTTTATATCATATATAAATTTGAATGGAAATATGTACTTAATTAATCAAACTACTATGATTTACTACAATAACCACCGTTATTTAATTAACGGAGATAAGTATCGTGTAAGATTTAACAAGTAGAAATTAGAAAACAATAATATCATGCATATTTTCGTGCGTAGGATTTTTAGAAATTAAAACGAGTATTTTTATTTCTATTAGTCAAGGAAATATAAAAGACGACATAAAAGAGATTCATCTTGCTAATAATATAAATGTCCGTTTAAATTGACTTTTAGTAATTATCAGCTCTTAAGAGTATTTAAATATTGTAAAAATAATTTAAAAGAATATTAAAAGTAAGTACCCCTATTTTTTATTTTTAATTTCAAAATTACTGAAAATTAACTTTCAAAGAAAAATACATACTTAGCTATGCATTGAACTTTATATACAGTGAAAATAAAAGGCTTAAGTCATCTACAGCCACTTAAAGTTGTCCACATATTTCATTTAGGCACCTTATCTTAGACTTGTTTCAATTGAACACCTTTTTTAGTTTAAAAAAATACCTATCGAACATATTTTGACAATCAACTAAAAATAAAGATGGTGTGTCATACACTCACAGCTGACATGGCATGGTAGCTAATAAAAAAGAGACATCTGGCATTGGGCCCAGAAAAACACAATTAAATAAATAAAAACTATTTTTTGAGAAAAAAAAAATTAAAAAAGAGCAACCTTCCCTTTTCTTCTTCTTCTTCTTCCCAGAACCACTCCCACCCAACCCCAACTTTAAATTCCACATTTTTTTACCAAAAGACACAAAATCGAATCATGTTTCGAATAACCATTTTCACTTTGACATGTTTCCTTTTAATTTGAAATTATATGTTTTCTTTCCGATCAACCCACCTATCCCTCTCCTTGAATCTAATTCAATATTGGAAATGGTATTTCTTCCAATCACACTTTTTCTTAATCATTAAATAAGATTTGTTAAAATTGAAAAATAATAATAACAAGTTTTTGTCCAAAAAAAATCTATTCATATCTTTTTTCATCATAATTAATAGGACTTCGTCAAGATATTTGAAACATAAATCAACATAAGAAAGAAAAAGAAAAAGCAGAAGAAGAACGATAGAGGGTGAGAGAAAGAGAGAGGTGGAGGTGGTGGTGGGTAGCGTATGTAAAAAGATTATGAAAATGGTGGAAGAATAGTTGCAGCAATATTGGGGAAGAAGATGTATGTTTTTCTTCTTTTTTTTTGTTATTTTTTTTAAAAAATTAAATTAGGTGTAAAAGTTAATGAAAAAAAAGAAAATATATTATTTTTCATAACTTAACGCGCTCAAAGAAAGTGTACTACACATTTTTTGCCATGTCAGCATTTTGTGTTTAATAAAAATGATTTTTGAACAAATAAGGTGTTCAATCGACATATGGATGAGTTAAGGTGTCTAAGCGAATTTTGCGGACAACTTTTTAAGTGATTGCACAAGACTTAAGCCAAAATAAAATGTACTATGCCATGCATTGCATTGCATACATGCCCCTTCAAAAACAAAGACACGAAATTCTAGATTACTAGATATATTAACATTTATAGAAAGTCAGCGTACTTTTTGGCAAATATGAATCATAACATGGATATTGTTTCAACCAAATTATGTTAATTTTAATATTTAGAAATTAGAGTTAAATATATTCTAAATCGTATATTGCTTTTTATTCAATTTAATTGTTTTTTTTTAAAAAAAATAGTGAAAAAAAATCCATAGCGGATCTGAATATCGGGCTTGGTAAAATATCCACCTCTTCCCCTACCCGAATTCTTCTCTCTGTTTTTTCTCAATTCCAAATCCAAATCGGGAACTTTCGCCGGCGCCGGCGAGGCTAAAGGTCCCGTTTTCTTCACATAGATTCCGGCGTTTGTTGTAGTGGAAGTGTTCCTGGAATTCATCTATTACTGTATGTAGACATCGTTGTGCGCTTTAGATAATTGATTATTGAATTTTGTGATTGGAAGCACAAGTTGAGCTTATGGAGAAGGATTTGAGTGACAATAGACATTGTAGGAGAAGGAACGATGAGGATGTGAAGAAAGTTGAGCGGCAACGATATAGGGATAGAAGCAGCTCGGATGATGATGGCGGAAGAGGTGATAGGAGGGCGAGGAGGCGAACAATTGAACATGAACGTGGTGATGATGATGATGATGGTGGTGGTGGTGGTAATAATGGAAGGGATGATAGGAGGTTGTCGAGGCGAAGAACTGAACGTGGAACTAGGGATGATAGCGATGATGATTTGAAGCGGAAGAGTCAAATAGATGAACGTGAAGATAGTGCTGAAAAGGGTTATAGGAGGCTAAAAGAAGAGCAAGAAGAAGAAGAAGAAGATGAAGGTGACAGAGATAAAACGAGGGAGAGGAGGAGAAAAAGTGAACAGGTAGATGCTGATGAGAAGGATGATAGGAGGGAGAGAAGACTAAGAAATGACCGTGAAGATGATGCTGGAAGGGATGACAGAAGACAGAGGAGACCAAAGGATGGAAGTGAAGAAGATGATGAAAGGAGGGATGGTAGGAAGGAAAGCGCAAAAAATGTAAGCCAAGTTGATGAGGACGTTGAAAGAGATGATAGAAGTAAGAGGAAACGTAGACATGAAAGTGAAGCTGATGATGTAAAGGACGATAGAAAGGAGAGGAGTCGAAGGAATGGAGATGAAAGAAACGATAGGAAGGAGAGGAGTCGAAACAATGGAGATGATTGGAGGGAGAAAAAGCAACGGGAGTCTGATGATGAAAAGGTGCAAAAGAGAAGGGAGGGTAGGGTTGATCGGTATAATGACGGTAGAGAAGGGGATAGGAAAGAGAAGAGTAGGAATATAGAAAGAGAAAAGAAGGATGATGGTGATGCCAATGATACAAAGGATACAAGGCAAAGGATTGGGGCTGATAAACATGGAAAAGACAATAATAGGGAAGATAATACCCAAGAAGATGGGG